CACTCCAGGCAAAACTTACTTCCTCCTTGAAGAAGCATATAGAGCTTTGACTCATAATGAAGTTGAGGATGCCTAGCCCGAGCAGGTTCCTGCAAGAAAGAAGTGAAATTTGATGATTAAATAACGAGTTTACGCATTCAGCTGTCTAAACCAATGTCACTAAAATCATGGAAAAGAAAACAAACATATATCTTGATCACACGAATATCATTGAAACCACATTATTGAATTGAAAAGGCCAACAGTCAACGTTGTGATCTACTTACAAGCTTCACAGCCACTTCTTCTCCCGTTTGCACATTCACTCCTGAAACAAGAGAAGTCGAAAATAATTAGTAAAGGAAGCTTATAACTTACCAAAAGACATAAAACAAGAAGCAACCCAAAAGAACCTTTCAAATACCTAGAAAAAGTTCACCAAATGATCCACTCCCGAGTTTACGTCCCAACTTATACTTGCCACCAACCACACGATCCATGTTGAACAATTCCAATCAAAAAGTACCCTTTTTTCTTCGATGTACTTAACCCCTAATTCACCTCAGACTCTCCTGTTTCTCTCCGGTCAAACGATCAATCAAAACGGATTTAACAAGAAGACCTTGTAAACAATTCAACACTGACGTTATCAAAATCAACCCAGAAAGCTGATTAAGATCTCTTCAAACTCTAATCCCGAGAAAACTAAGTTGACCCAGATCCCCAACCGTGTTCCTTAGCTCGCTAAAGCCTGATTCGAATCGATAATCACCAGATCGAAATCAAAGACCCCAAATTTACTATCCTCACCAGATTCTCTATCACCAAGTAAAGAGAACAACAAATTCCAGTAACAAACACCACAAATATCTCTCAATCAGACCAAATCCACAAAATCAAAGCTACGATCTTCTCCAATCCCTGAATCGATTAAAAGTGTTTGACCCAAATCGATTTGCAAAATCTAATTGAGAACGATCAACTAAAAATCACCCATTGACCACCACCGAAACTCTGACACCTTCTCTGACAAAAGCTTACAGATCACGAACGAACGAAGAAAAAAAAAAGTGTCTGCAGAGAAAAAAAAAATCTGC